GACCCTGGTGTAACTTACGTGAATAGGGGAGGTGAGATATTAAGTGGGGCCCAAAAGTTTACATGGATTAGCCCACTTAATGACTTATTTCAACAGCATATAGGATTTATTTGCGGGATATTATATGCGCAGCCACCATTGGGGATTTACTTTTAGAAAAACACGCACAACGAGAGAAAAGGAGAGCCGTCGCATAAAAGAGAAGGAAAAGCAAACGCATGCACTTGGAGACGGGGAAGCCGACGAAAGCGGAGGGAGGCCGCACCTGTACACGAGGGAGATAATTAATCTCTCTCTTTTATCTATTATTTGTTTTTATTTATTATGTTAGAATAGATTTTATTCTAGTTCCGGGGAAGTCGAACCCTACGATTGATAATGTTTGATTAATTTATATGGTTGATGATTTCAATATCTTTTTAGAATTGTTTGTGTTATTTTGAATAATTAACCATGATGTGTTAAGTCTTATTTAGATTGATCACCTAGATTAGGCTTTTCATATCTACAGCTGAATTAGACCTTCAATCCGTAATTGTTGTTGTGTTTAATTCATAAGAGGCTACCGGAAGACGGTAACTACCGGGGATAACACAACCTATTTAAGTGAACGAACGCAGTTGAGTTCACTACCTAGTCTAGCCTATTTTTCTAATTCGTAAAGCGGCTAATTGTATTAAATCTTGAAAACGTTTTTCTGGACTGTACAAGAAGTAAATCTTGAAAACGTTTTTCTGGACTGTACAAGAAGTCAGGTTTAATCGTAGAGCGTCTCGCGGTTAAATTAAAAAATAAGAAAAAATTCGGATAACAGACTGTGTCGTTACCTATGGCTGGTAATTCTACAAGATAGCGAGATTTGATATCAATGTTTATTATACGAGTCAGTCGAAGGTGTAGATGAAACCGTGAACTAGAAACTTTCTCTTAATTTATTTTATTTGTTTAGATTTTATTTATTTATTTTAGTTAATTAGTTTAGATATTAAATAAAAAATCCCCCCCCCCCTTCTTTTATTGCTTTTATACATTCAATTAATACGAGAAATTCACGATTTGATTCACACTCCTCGTGGGATCGACCCTTGCTCGCCACTACTACTAGTTAGTAGAAGTTAACCAAGGAAAAATATAAATTTTAATTTGCCGCATTGCGACGCGCGGTCAATCCACTCATAGTCTGACATTAATCACAAGTAAGATCAATCTAATCTTTAAATCTGTTGTGATTAGGATTAATTTCTTAGGAATTGATTAGCGGACAATTAACCGACGTTCTTTGCCGAACTCAACAGTTATCACTCTATTAATTAATCATTATATATTCTGCACATATTTTTTTTTATTTCTCAATAAGAATATCAATATTTTTATATAATCATTTTTTATTATATATATATATATATTTTGTACAATATTATATATTTTTTCAAGTAAACGTATAATACACGGATGTATATAGATATTTATGACCTCACAGTCCTTATAGATGAACATGCGTTAAAACCAGGACAGAAGTGCTTGTGAGCTTTTTTGTCCATTGGTACAGCTTCAACAGCCAACACAAACCATTCTTTCCAACCATATTCTTTACATTGTTTTTACCATAATATAATAGGATCTTCCAACTATTTAGGAACCTTCTCACATGTTTGGGTATGCTAATGTTTAATGCAGCCGTCCATAGTTGAGCGTATATATAAAAGTACATCAAAATTGTCATATTCTTCACCAAAAATGATCTCTTAAAAAACCCAATAAATATTCAATATGACAACTATCTATATAACATTATCCAATAGAAAAAATTCAAAACTAGTCCTATAAATATAGGGGAGTGACAATTTTGGTCCCGACGAAATGCAGAAAATATGAATAGTCCCACAGCTTTTAAAAAATGATCAAAAGTAGGACTTTTTTTACCGGATTTACTATTTCCGGCCCGGAAAGCCACGTCGCGCACATGTGGCTTATTTTTTTACAAGCTGGCTTTTTTTTTACACGCTGGCATCTGACGTGTTCATATATTTTTTACAAGCTGTGGGACTATTCATATTTTCTGCATTCCATCGGGACCAAAAATGTCACCCTCATATACCTGTGGGACTAGTTTTGAATTTTTCCCTATCTACGTCGGATGCCACCGTGTAAAAAAAATAAACCACATGTGCGCGACGTGGCGTTCCGGGCTGAAAATAGTAAATCCGACAAAAAAAAGTCCTACTTTTGATCATTTTTTAAAAACTGTGGGACTATCCATATTTTCTGCATTCCGTCGGGACTAAAATTGTCACCTCCTATACCTGTGGGACTAGTTTTGAATTTTTCCCATAAAATAATTTTGGGATCATTATGATTAGTTAAATACTTGAATCATGAAGATTAAACTTATAGATTAATAAAGTACCTAAATCATAAAGATAGAATTTCTTGATGTTGAATATCTGAAGTAAATGTACGGATTTAAGTACCATGAACTCACTTCGATGATATTCACGAACACGAAATCTTGATGGATTAATTATACTAGTACACTTTGCATATATTGATCGAAATGGACTACAAAGGAAAAATATATTTTATACTGACCTACTAAATAAACTAGACCTTGAAATACTACTCGTACTCTAAACTCGGGTGATAATGATGGGCAACTTATTTCTTTAGTTGATCAAAGAGTGAGACTTATCCATAATAGGCTCGGTGAATTGGGCTACATTATTATTCACATGATGTGTTGTCGTCGGTTATCTGTTTCCTGGTGCGTGACCGCGCGTTGTAACGCGTAAAATTATAATTTATATTTTCCTTAACTAACCTCTTCCAACTAGTAGTAGTGGCGAGAAGGGTCGATTCCACGAGGAGTGTGAATCAAATTGTGAAATTCTTGTATTAACTGAAATTATGAAAAATGATAAATGGGGGGGTTTTGATTTAATAACTAAACTAACTAAAATAAATAAAATCTAAACAAATAAAATAAAAATAAAATGAAATAAGAGAAAGCTTCTAGTTCACAGTTCCGTCTACACCCTCGACTGACTCGTCTAATCAACTTTGGAATCAAACCTCGCTATCTTATGAAATTACTAGCCCTAGGCAACGACACGGTCTGCTACCCGAATTTTTCCTTAATTTTAATTTAACTGCGAGACGCTCTACGATTAAACCTAACTTCTTGTACAATCCAGAAAAACGTTTTCAAGATTTAATACAATTAGCCGCTTTACGAATTAGAAAAATAGGCTAGACTAAGTAGTGAACTCAACTGCGTTCGTTCATTTAAATAGGCCGTGTTATCCCCGGTAGTTACCATCTTCCGGTTACCTCTTATGAATTAAACACAACAACAATTACGGATTGCAGGTCTAATTCAGATGTAGATATGAAAAGCCTAATCTAGGTGATCAATCTAAACAAGACTAACACATCATGGTGAATTATTCAAAATAACACAAGCAATTCCAAAAAGATATTAAAATCTTCAACCATATAAATCAATCAAAACATAGTCAATTGTAGGGTTCGACTTCCCCGGAACTGGAAATAAAAACTAGTCTAACATAATAAATAAAAATAAATAATAGATAAAAGAGAGAGATTAATTATCTCCCTCATGTACGGGTGCGGCCTCCTCCGCGATTAATCGGGTTCCTCGCGTCTGCTTCTCTGTTATGCGTGAATGATGGCGGCTCTCCCTTTCTCCTAAGGTGTCTGGCCGCTTTTCTTTCAATTCTGTGCGTGATGTCTTTCTTTTTTGGCTTTGCGTAAGTAAACCCTCTAATTCTCACTTAATAGGCTGCGTGTCCTCTCAGGAAATATGTCCAAAGAAACCCAATTAATTCCAAGTGCCAAGCAATTAAATCCTAATCCCAGTTGGACTGCTTCTTTTAAATAATTCTAAGCCCATTCTTGCATGAATGTCCCAGGACTCCAATTGGTTTTAAGGCCCCACTCTTCAAGTCCATCAATTATTTGCTTATACAAGCTCATATCAAAATCTGTGCTTATGGGTTAAATTGACAGGTAGTAGAAAGGTCGATAATTTATCTCGTACACTTCCATCCAATATTGCATCGTCCATGAACACGCTCTAATATTCTGAAAATAAACATAAAAATATCAATGTATATGAATTCATTTAAATAATAAATAAGTCAAAAAATATAAATGTGCAAATAAATTAAGTGTATAAAAATACACTATTAAATATATAAAACATGCACATTTTTCGACCTATCAGTGCGCCAGGATGATGACATCTACGAGATGAGCTCAAAAGGATTATTATGTCAAGTCATGCAGGCGAATTTAGTTCCAACATAATAATAAGGTTGAGTTGTACGTAGTAGTCTCGAAAAACCAACAAGTTGATTAATTAAATTGTCAGTCTCTACTCGCACTCTTTCCGCCTCTCTCACTTAAAGGGCTTATGAGAGTGGGTAGCTTTAATTAAATTAATTAACAGGCGTTCGATATCTTAAATACGGGGAGATAAATCGAGGATAGTGGAGCCCGAGTAATTAGAGTAAGGAAAAGGTATTGAAATAATAAATTTTTAGTTGACTGATTTATCACTAATGGCCCAAGAAATAGGGTGGACCATAGCTCAAGTATTTCGACATAATCATCTTCTGGGTTTCATCTCTAGTCTATCCAACTTGCTTGGGTTAAAAGGCTATGTTGTTGTTGTTGTTGTTGAGAGACATAATCCTAACCTTCTTAAAGTCTCTGTTGTAGTCTATAAACAAAGCATATGGGAGTCACATTCTCTAGCTAGACAATTCACGTTCTTTTGTCTTGGGAAAATCACGCCCAACGCGTGAGTAATAAGTGTGTGTGTGTTTGTGTGTGTGTGTGAGAGAGAGAGGGTTAGAAAAGAGAAAAAAATGGTGTTTCGAAACACAATACTTATTCCTTCTTTCTCATAAACTAATCACATGAGATTTATGAAGGGAGAACTTCAAAGCTACCGCCCACCAAGACGATCGGAGAAGTGTCCGAAATACAACATAAGATTTCAAGGTCGTACGACATGCTCATATGATCTTGTAGACCGTGTAATCTTCTCTGAATCGACAACTTTTAAACGGCACGATTTCATTGTAACTTTGAATCTGTTGCGCTTATGATTACTTCCGTAGATTTCAAGCTGCACATCAATCGACGTTTTTCGCCGAACCCAACAAAAGGAAGAAGAAAAGAAAAAAAATCCTTGGTACAATGTTCAGAATGGTACCATTCAAGTTCAACACAGCAGAAGTAGCACATTCCATAACTATAGAAACAATAGAAGAATACAAACTAACACAATCAGTGAAGCACATAGGCCTCAACTTAGGACTTTAGTCGTGTATCCTATTTTATATCAAAATAAGGACGTCTGATTCTCTGCATTCGACCATGTCCATGCTTACATGAATACAGTGCTCAACAAATTAAGTCCCTCTATTCATAAAGGACGTCTGATTCTCTACATTCAACCATGTCCATGCTTACAAGAATACAGTGCTCAACAAATGAAGTCCCACTGTTCATAATACTTGCTACTCTTCTATTACAAATACCAATTAAGATTTTCGAATCCTCCTTCCTTTATGTTCCAAACACCTTTTATTTCTTGGGACTGGCTCCTTTCTACAAGGCAAGCCATTTTCCATGTTAAATCCACAAGTCGGGCGAAAAAATTGATCTTCAATATCAATTTCGACGGGAGATACTACTTTCCCCTCATTATTCAACTTTAAAACAGAACCATTAACCCTCATCCCTTTATGCAAAGCACACCTCTTTCTCCCCTTAACAGGTGGCACACTACACACGGATCCATAACCAATTCCAACCCCACAAATATCAATAGTGCTATAATCACCCGAATGTTCATACTGTACATTTGGTCTGGGCTGCAGCCTCTTACCTCTGAATATTCTGGAGAATATTGTGATGTTATCCAAACTGCTAGGGTCGGGTCCATTTTTTGACGAGCACGGCTCACAAGCTTTGATTTTAATCCCAACTGGCTTTTTGTTGACAAAAATGAACTTTTTCACCAGGAGAGAAAATTGAGACTGTTTCAAGAGGTAATCGAGCTTTCTGTGGATGTCATATGGGCGGCGTGGGCCGTTACTGCCTTTGTTCCATGCGTAGTCGAACTTGTTGAGTAGCTGTCTCTCGGTTGTCTCTGCATCTTTCTTGCTTTTCGTCTGTCGAGGGACATTTAGAGGAAAAGGGATGAGAATAGTGTTAACTGAAATCACATGGATGAATAGCTCCATTGTGGGGAGATTTCGAAATTTTCTTATCCGATCACATTCTCAAAAGAAATGGCAGAGGTAAGCGGGACCACCCCAGCCCACCCCATCTCCATCTAATAAGTGTGTCGAAAAGAAAATATAAAAAACAAAAACTACTTGAGAATTTTGTATGAAGAAAATAAAATCCCTTCTGTAACTCAGTCCAATGCGTCGGCCTTCCAAGCAGTAAAAGAATACAAGAAATTAGTGAATCTGATGATAGTTTTGAAAAACATACACCTGGTACAACAAAAACTAATAAAAAAAGTATGGGGCTTGCAACACTTTTTCTTAAAAAGAAAAAATTTTCGTGCTACGCCACTTGTCATAAGGCTCTTATAATGCTTAAAACCTCAAGGATCATCAGTAATAGAAATTACTGTGATGATATTTTAGAAAAACCATACATCTGGTGGCTGGTATGACAAAAATTAACAAAAACAAGGGGGATTTTAAGACTTCTTAAAAAAAATGTTCGAGCTACCCACGTCATCATAAGGCGCTTAATGCCTAAAAAGCCTAAGGACCATCAATCTATCTAAAGTAGTAATGTTCTGTCTTCTTTTCATGACAATCAAGAATGCAGATACACAAAAAATCTTCAAGAGAAGACCTAATAAAAAAGAAAAAATAATTCTTCTTTAGTTGTGCAAGGTGAAAAAGGCTTTTAGGAAACACCAACATGCCAATTTAGTTGCATGATTTATCTGCTTGGAATCATTAAACTACCACATATTTTCCTTTTCTGTTTTCATTTTTATCCGATAGCATGAAAACTTGCTAAATTTAGCTGCAAAGTTGAACCTTGGAAGATAGTCAGCAGATTTTAATCATCCCATAAAACAGATAAAAATTTGCCCCAATAAAATAACCTTTTTTCTTGAGAAACTACTTTTCTCATGTCATTCCATATTTTATTATAGTCTGAATTACTGTCACAATATCACTCTCTCACATTACTACCGCGATGTAAGTACACACAAATTAAAAATAAACACCAAAACAGCACATTCAATTGATAAACAGCCTTAGCAGCGATAATAAATACTTACTGGGGCACATCTATAAAGAATTGGCAAACCTCTCGAGAATATATCTGCAAACCATCCAAGCCTATTATGGGAAGTGCTTGTTTGGCAGTCGTTAAACTTGAGATTCAAACATCCGTTCTCCAGATGGGCACCATCACGGCCATACTGCTGCAGTCGATTCCTAAGATTGTCAGCTTGTCCAAGATAAACAGGAACCACAGAGCTCGACTTAAATTCGCGGGCCCCTCTCCCGGATTTTGGACGTGATGCAGCCACTCCAAGCTCATATACTCCGGAACAAGAAGTCCACTTCGGAAGATTTTGCGTCCTGTACTTTTCCACTCCTTCTTTTGCCATTGAGTAATCCTCCCAATCAGAAGGTCCTATCAGAATCTACCCAACAAATCACAAATAACGACTCGATTCATCAGTTTAGATTCCAATGCCACAAGAAAAGAGGGGAAAAAAACAGTATAATTATTTATAATTCTTATTAGCTGGGAATTCAAAACGTGAAAGGTTTATGTTTAACACAAGTCTGTTTCTGACAAAAGAACAAATTTTAAGCTCATTTTTGTTCATTCAGCGTACAGAAAACTAGGTACCATCAATACACCTAATTCTTGAAGTCTGCTTCAATTGGTTTCAAAATTTTGATTTTAGCAAGGATAATTAATTTTCTTACAGATTATCATCGCCTACGTTACCAATGATGATAACCTATTAAAAGGGGAAAAAAAAGTTGAGAAATCAATTGGACACCTCAAGGGCAGTCTTTGATTATATTGAATTTCTACAAGTGAAACTTGAGGAAGAAACTGCTATCAGTGAGAATACAATGCAAAGTTCTTAACTTGCTTCAATGGTGATCAGCTTTCTTTTTGATTTAATCTTTTTGTGGTGAAAAAGAAAGGATTTTAGGGCCAACGCATCTCCATCAATTAGATTCCAGCATAAATCGAAAATCGAAAGAAGAAAAACTAGTTACCATAGTTCTTTAACTCAAAAACAAACATAATTTACTGTCCCTAAACCAGTACGCTTCAAAAAAATTGCAAATTAGAGCTCATAAAACATTCGAAAATCAGCTTTTGTGTGTATCGATGACCTTCCATCTGGAGAAAGCAGAGTCGTGTTTGGTGCGCTTGAAATCTTCTCTTCTCAGCCTTTTTCCGTCGCCGGTGGACGCGGCTGAGCTGGTGGCGGAGCTGGGCGCTCCCATCGAGCTCCAGTGTATGATTATCAGTGATGGCGTGAGGCGACCGTTGTTTTCGGTCCTTCATATATTGTCTTTGTGCTGCTGCGCTTGTTTGCACCTGAAAGACATATTTGCCCCTTAGAATGCCTTTTGTTTCCCCTCATTTTATAAAGGGTAAACTCCACTTTTGGTCTTCCATGTTTAGGGGGTATCCAGACTGAGTCCCTATTATGTTTTGGTGCCCAATTTTAGTCCTTAAAACAAAAAAATGAGTCCCTATTATGTTTTGGTGCCCAATTTTAGTCCTTAAAACAAAAAAATGAATCCCTATTATGTTTTGGTGCCCAATTTTAGTCCAAAAAAAAATGTAGTCCCTTTACCTCAATTTTTGTGAATTAACGGTCCATTTTTGCTCGGCTGTGATGTTCTTTATTTTTTTAAAATTTGTTGATTAATGTCAACTTTGACCAAAGAAAAATAAAAGAAAATTTAAATGTTGAAAATATATTAATAAAAAATTAAACTAAAACAAGAAATTGCACTACATTAAATTAAAATTTTTGCTCGTCTGATTTCTATTTCCCTAGCATTCGCGCTGCGGAGCAAGCCTGGAATCACAACTAATGCTCTTGCACCCATTTCCGGGTCATGCCATCGAAAAAAATTGCACCTATCAACCCTCTGTTTTTTAACCATTTCTTATCATATTCCAATTGAAATTCACGGAAAGTACTTACAGGATATAGAGGGCAACTCAAGAATCTTCTCCCGAGATTTTCATCCTTCCAGCATGTAGTCAACTTTGCAACCAGCTCACATCTACAAAATACCACACCATTTCCATCCATTAAATCGGATTTAGTCCCTAGGCGGTTAGGTTTTTTTTTTTTTTTTTACGTTTCACTGCAGTTCACTATTTCTGTCTTTTATTTTACTTTTTCAGCATTTAAATTTTCTTTTATTTTTCTTTGGTCAAAGTTGACATT